GTATCATGTTGAGAATGCCAGTTTCTATAACAATTATTGAATTATTGATAATGGGAGAAAGTTTTACTTGTCTTCCCTTTGTCCCCCTCGTGTTTTTTACCAAGTTCAAGTTCGTTTCTAACTGTGCCTTTTCAATCGGGATTCAAATATATATAATGGGTGATAATGTTTCGATTCGAAGCAGAGTTAGTAAAATAGCCCTGTTAGCTAGCTACATTGATATAAATTTCGATTTTACTTTCATTTTTTTTTTCATCTGCAGTTTATTAAATGGATTCGAATGCATCGAGCTACATTCTAAATCACGCCGAATACTATCTAAGCAAAGAGGATTCTAACATCATCGATTTAGGACTAAGTTTACGTACTTTGCAGCCCGATCAGGCTTGCTATCCTTCTCCTCATGGTATGTTCATTTGTATTTTCATCATAGTCATAAAAACCTTCATAATCGAGAGAAATAGAAAGCATTACTTTTCGTACGATTTTTTAATTGCAGAGAATTATGAACTCTTAGTCGAATGGCATCACCGGTTCAAAAGGACGACGAATTTAAACCCTCAAATTGTGAAGCAAAGCCGTGATGGAGAAGAATCGGAAGGGATTCAAAGCAAACAACGTTGGGCGAGTTATGTGAAGGTCAACATGGATGGAGTGATTGTCGGTAGAAAAATCTGCATTCTCGACAGTGTGGATTACTCGAGTCTCGCGCTTCGACTCGAGGAAATGTTTGGTATGTATGTATAAGACAAAGAACAAAATCTATGTTTTGTCTCGATTTTTATAGTTGTGTACGAATAAATTTAACGAGGGAATTTGTTGTGCATTCGATTAGGGAAACAATCGAGTTCGGGTTTGAGGCTTTTCGAAGCCGAGTCGCAATTCTCATTGGTTTACAAGGACACGAATGGGAAGTGGAGAAACGTTGGGGATGTTCTGTGGATGTGAGTTCTCTGTTTCTAATGTAAATTCGTTAAGGCTACGTTTGGATTGAGAGACTTGAAATCTCTTGATTTTGGATGTGAGTTATCTATTTCTCATGTAAACTCATTAAGATCACGTTTGAATTGAGAAATTTGAAATCTCTTGATTCTGATCTCTTGATTTTGGATGTGAGTTCTATGTTTCTCATGACACATTAAGGCTACGTTTGG